AAAAGCTTTTATAAACTTAATTGATTCTGAATGAAGAGAATAATGTGTGTTTTCCTGAAGTGTTAACTCAAGAAGTACAAGCATTTGTGCTGTTGGGAACATCTTCTATTCGCACTGTAGAGATGAATGAATGAATTTAATTATTAGTGAATTCTCAATTAAGTTTCAAAGCACTGATGAAAAATATAGTGGCAGGGGTGATACGCATTATAAAACAAAGCCCAAAAAAATCTTTACAGTAGAAGACACATTATTAAGTATCACTTTTGTTCATATGGATCTTAAACCCCTCAAACCATATTTTGAGACCAGAATATAATTTATGGGATTTGGCTCTTTTAAATATGGGCTAGTAAGCAACCATCTACACTCTTAAAAAATAAAGATTCCAAAGGGTTTGAGCAGCGATGCCATAGAGAAACCATTAGAAGATTTGAAGAATATCATAGTGGTAGGCCTTTTTGACTTTGGCTAGTAAGTAACTATTTAGCAACCAACCAGGACAGCCAAGCAACTACCTATAAATACCCTAGCAACAACATAATGCTTTATCAACCACCCAAAACTCTGCTGGTGAGTTTGCATCTACACCCCTAAAAAATAAAGCTTTCAAAAGGGGGTTTTCACAGTGATACCAAAGAATATTTCAGTGAACAGTTCTTAACAGGACCATTTTATTTTTTAAGAGTGAAGAACATTTTAATAATCTAAAGAACCTTTTTCCGTTATTAACAACCTTAAAGTTTCTACAGATGTTAAAATTCTTTATGGAACCATAGATGCCAGTAAAGAACCTTTATTTTTAAAAGTGTAGCAGCCACCCGGAACACTATGGAGAGTTCCTTTTCCTTTCTTTCACAGACAGCCTTCCAAAAAAAAAAAATAAAGTATATATTTTTTTTTTTTTACTATTTCACTGTAAGTTCCAGGTTGTAGTATTTAGTTAGAAAAGGTGGCACTGGGGCCTTTGAACATGAGGTCATGTTCCAGTAATGCCACATCCAGTTTGAACTAAATGATTTTGCTATGAGATCACCACCTACTAGAAAAAGGAGTGAATTTTATAAACTAATGTTTATAGAGACTTTTCAAAGCCAAACTCATAGTGAAAATTCACACAAAAACATTTGCATTAGGTATTCAAAAGAGACTCTGGCCTGACATCTTGTGGTCAGCCTGAAGTAGTCATGACTTAGGACTTAGGTTTATGATTGTTTAAAGCACCTCTCATTTTTTAGACAACTTGGATCATGCACTTTTCCAGCAGCAGCTCACGTTATTTTTTTCATATTTCTTTCATTATTTTTTATTTTATCCTTCATTATTTAACATCACAGTACATCAATGTAAACTATATTGTCTCATCCTAGGGGGGAGATTTAGAGTTTGAAATTACATTCAGCACGCAGAGAAGTTCCACACATGCAGTGATTACTACAACACTGTATTACAGTAAATTTTTGGTACAAATACATGCCATAATCAAAACTAGAGCTACATATTAATTTCATCCAAAAGATTATTTATTCAAGTAGTGCAATGTTACTAGTACACATCCAAACACAATCTTTAATTATGGACTGATGGGAGTGTTTAACAAGAAAAAAAAAACAAGTATAATTTGGCCAATTCAAATCTGTACATAAGAGAACTGAGATGTATTGGGATCCTATACAATACATAGACATTTTCTACAGAAATATTTCGTTTTTTTTTTTTATATATATTGACAAAAACCATTACAGCATTTTCAATTATACAGTACTCGAGCTATTAAACACTGCAGTCAAAAAAAAAGACAATTAACTTCTGCACTAAACTATTATTTTTCAATTATGAAAGCACAAAACTGTACGTGTGATTCATATGCACACATAAAATCACACTTTTAGCCAATTTTGCTTTAATTTGTTTAGTACAGAAAAAAAGACAAGAAATATACACCTGACTGACTCCAGTGGATCTGCGACAAAGCAGATTATATAAATGATGCCAGTTTTCATATTTTCTTTAGAGGAAGTGTTGTTGATACTACACTCCTAATTTCTCAGTTGATTTGGCATTGACAAGCTTTTATATGTAATAATTCATAACAATTCCTGTTTACAATATACAAGTGAACTGAATATGAGTCATGGGGAAAGCTCCTTAATGCAATGCTATTCAGAATTCACATGACTACACATGCACACACTTTGTCTCTCTTAACGTTTCTCAAGTTTCTTTTCCTTTTTTCATTAATCTAACAAATAGCACCATTAACTCTGAGTCATTCAGTGTTAAATATGAACAAGCTTAAATATGCTTTGCAAAACCTCATCACCAAAAATATTTTCAAATAAGCTTTGTACAAATAATTTTGTACACCAAGAAACATACTTTGATACTTTCTTGAATAAAGTTCCAATAGCAAGTAGATCTATATTAAAGCATTTGTATATTCTTTGTATAATAAAGAAAATCATAGTCCTAATAAGCACACTTTCAGTCGCACAAATCGCTTCAGACACATCCAAAATACTTAAGCAGTGATCTATTGAATTTTTTGAATCAGAATATTTAGTGAATTCCTTAAAGGATTTATATTCAAATAAATTGGGGACTTACACTCTTAAAAATAAAGGTGCTTCACGATGCCATGGAAGAACCTTTTTGTCTAAATGGTTCCATAAAGAACCTTTAACATCTGAAGAATCTTTCTGTTTCACAAAAAGTTCTTTGTGGTGAAAGACGGTTCTTCAAATTACAAAAAGGGTAAGAAAGAAATGGTTCTTTAAAGAACCTTTGACTGAATGGTTCTTTGTGGAACCAAAAATGGTTCTTCTATGGCATCGCTTGAAGAACCTTTTGAAGCACCTTTATTTAAGAGTGTAGAAGACTGACATTTTATTTTATGCTATTTATTATTTGATTATTAAATTAGTACCATTAACATGTTTAAAGAGTGTTACTCAGGAAGACATTTATGTAAAGTGTTTTAGTTAACAATTAAAATTATGAAAAAAATATTTAAACTTTAATTACTATTTTTCAGTTGCATTACTAAAGTAGATTAACTATTTTGTTTCTGTTTTAAATACTAAATTAATTATACACAGTTTATGCTCAATATAAGCAACCTGAGCTCAAAATACTATTTATTGATCCTCTGTTTCTCAATGCATACTTGAATCTAGCCAGAAAATAAAGGGATTTTCTAATGGCTTACAACTGTTATTCCCAGATAAGTCATTTATAATTAACTAAAAATGAAAAATAATTTATTAATGAGTAGCTGAACTGAAGTCACCCCAAATTCTGATTTGACCTCTCATTTGAGTAATTTTGAGAAAAACACATTTATAAGTGCTGGACAGGACACAGAGGAAGGAAAGAATGCTGTAGAATCCTTAGCGGTGAAAAACACTGGGCCTCTGATTTAGCAAATCCAAAACAAACAACTTCCATTAAAGGGAATCTTTTATTTTTGTTTGGTTGTGTTCTTTAAAAAAATAAAAAATAAAAATCTATAATCAACTAAATTTGTCCAAAAGTTCAAATTGGCTGAAAAGCGTTTGAAAAACAAACAACTGCTTCACCCATAACTGTACCATTCCACTCACTAAAGGAATAGTTTAACCCAAAATGAAAACTTCCTAAAATGTATTCACCCTCAACATCCAAGATGTAGATGAGTTTGTTTCTTCGTCATAACAGATTTGGAAAATTTAACATGACATCACTCGCTCACCAATGTATCCTCTGTAGTGAATGGGTGCCGTCAGAATGAGTCCAAACAGCTGAAAAAAACATCACAATAATTCACAAGTAATCCACATGCTCCAGTCCATCAATTAACATCTTGAAGCAAAAATATGCATGTTTATAATAAACAAATCCATCATTAAGATGTTTTTAAATTCAAACCATTGCTTTCAGCTGAAATAGGAGTCCTCTATTCATAATATTGCTTTCTCCAGTGGGGGAAAAAAAAAAAAGTAATCTCATCTGAATTAAGAGAAATATGCACAGATCAAGCACTGTTTACATGTGAAAACTGTCCAAAACAATTCTAAACAAATATATCAGGATTTTGATGTAAGAGGACAACAGAGGATGGACTTTTCACTGGAGAAAGTGTTATTATGGATTATGGAAACTATGGCCAGAAGTGACTGTTTTAAAGTTAATACACCTTCATGATGGATTTGTTTCTTACAAACATGCAACTTTTCACTTCACAAGACATTAATTGATGGACTGAATTTGTGTCGATTACTTGTGATGACTTGTGAATTATTATGATGTTTTTATCAGCTGTTTGGACTCTCATTCTGACGGCACCCATTCACTGCAGAGGATCCATTGGTGAGCAAGTGATGTAATGCTAAATTTCTCCAAATCTGTTCCAATTAAGAAACAAACTCCTCTACATCTTGGATGGCCGGAGAGTGAGTAGATTTTCAGCAAATTGTCATTTATGGGTGAACTGTTCCTTGACTGGACCACAGCAAACGTAATGACAATCACTCATGGGAGAGAACGATATATACACACATTTGTTTTCAGGCGAATTTCACAGATGCTACTGACATTATACAAGTCGTGAAAAAAAAGACTGCTGGAAGTTCTGACATAAAAACTACTGCTTCGTACAGACCTGACAGCGGCTGATGTCTTGCTGTCTGGTGGACTGGGATACTGAGGAATGAGAATAAAAAAAGGATAAAGTTTCCTAATGTGGTTTATTTAATATAACAGTATTTTAAAATCTATGCTAGTTTACGATTTAGGCAGTGAATCGTGAAGAAATCTGATTTGTGAAAATAGTATTTTTTTCCTTTTAAGAGAAAAGGTTTACTTCTATTTTATCTAGATTACCCATTTAATGCAAATCAGATTCAATTCAATTGTTTAATATTCAAAATTATTGTACCTGAACATTCTTCTTGGATCAAGTGATGCAAGCCAGAAGCTGTATGAATCAGGATAGAAGTTACAGGTGCCACGACCATGACGCTCTATGAATGGAATCTTCCGGAATTCTTCCAGACAGGATCCAGGAGAAACCAGTTGCTGCCCAGAACCTTCTGCACCAGCACCCGTTTGCTAAGGAATAAATCAGAACAAGCAAAGTTATGTACTGCATATGTATACATATGTTACAGTTTACATGCTCAGCAAGGTTGCATTTATTTGATCAAAATACAGTAAAAACAGTAATATTGTGAAATATTGTGAAATGAAATACAAACTTTTTTCTATTTTAATATATTTAAAAATATAATTATTCCTGTGATGGTAAAACTGAATTTTCAGGAGCCATTACTCCAGTCCTTCAGAAATCATACTAATATGCCAACTTGCTGCTCAAGAAACATTTCTTATTATCGATGCTGAAAACAATTGAATGGTTCTTTGTGGAACCAAAAATGGTTCTTCTATGGCATCGCTTGAAGAACCTTTTGAAGCACCTTTATTTAAGAGTGTAGAAGACTGACATTTTATTTTATGCTATTTATTATTTGATTATTAAATTAGTACCATTAACATGTTTAAAGAGTGTTACTCAGGAAGACATTTATGTAAAGTGTTTTAGTTAACAATTAAAATTATGAAAAAAATATTTAAACTTTAATTACTATTTTTCAGTTGCATTACTAAAGTAGATTAACTATTTTGTTTCTGTTTTAAATACTAAATTAATTATACACAGTTTATGCTCAATATAAGCAACCTGAGCTCAAAATACTATTTATTGATCCTCTGTTTCTCAATGCATACTTGAATCTAGCCAGAAAATAAAGGGATTTTCTAATGGCTTACAACTGTTATTCCCAGATAAGTCATTTATAATTAACTAAAAATGAAAAATAATTTATTAATGAGTAGCTGAACTGAAGTCACCCCAAATTCTGATTTGACCTCTCATTTGAGTAATTTTGAGAAAAACACATTTATAAGTGCTGGACAGGACACAGAGGAAGGAAAGAATGCTGTAGAATCCTTAGCGGTGAAAAACACTGGGCCTCTGATTTAGCAAATCCAAAACAAACAACTTCCATTAAAGGGAATCTTTTATTTTTGTTTGGTTGTGTTCTTTAAAAAAATAAAAAATAAAAATCTATAATCAACTAAATTTGTCCAAAAGTTCAAATTGGCTGAAAAGCGTTTGAAAAACAAACAACTGCTTCACCCATAACTGTACCATTCCACTCACTAAAGGAATAGTTTAACCCAAAATGAAAACTTCCTAAAATGTATTCACCCTCAACATCCAAGATGTAGATGAGTTTGTTTCTTCGTCATAACAGATTTGGAAAATTTAACATGACATCACTCGCTCACCAATGTATCCTCTGTAGTGAATGGGTGCCGTCAGAATGAGTCCAAACAGCTGAAAAAAACATCACAATAATTCACAAGTAATCCACATGCTCCAGTCCATCAATTAACATCTTGAAGCAAAAATATGCATGTTTATAATAAACAAATCCATCATTAAGATGTTTTTAAATTCAAACCATTGCTTTCAGCTGAAATAGGAGTCCTCTATTCATAATATTGCTTTCTCCAGTGGGGGAAAAAAAAAAAAGTAATCTCATCTGAATTAAGAGAAATATGCACAGATCAAGCACTGTTTACATGTGAAAACTGTCCAAAACAATTCTAAACAAATATATCAGGATTTTGATGTAAGAGGACAACAGAGGATGGACTTTTCACTGGAGAAAGTGTTATTATGGATTATGGAAACTATGGCCAGAAGTGACTGTTTTAAAGTTAATACACCTTCATGATGGATTTGTTTCTTACAAACATGCAACTTTTCACTTCACAAGACATTAATTGATGGACTGAATTTGTGTCGATTACTTGTGATGACTTGTGAATTATTATGATGTTTTTATCAGCTGTTTGGACTCTCATTCTGACGGCACCCATTCACTGCAGAGGATCCATTGGTGAGCAAGTGATGTAATGCTAAATTTCTCCAAATCTGTTCCAATTAAGAAACAAACTCCTCTACATCTTGGATGGCCGGAGAGTGAGTAGATTTTCAGCAAATTGTCATTTATGGGTGAACTGTTCCTTGACTGGACCACAGCAAACGTAATGACAATCACTCATGGGAGAGAACGATATATACACACATTTGTTTTCAGGCGAATTTCACAGATGCTACTGACATTATACAAGTCGTGAAAAAAAAGACTGCTGGAAGTTCTGACATAAAAACTACTGCTTCGTACAGACCTGACAGCGGCTGATGTCTTGCTGTCTGGTGGACTGGGATACTGAGGAATGAGAATAAAAAAAGGATAAAGTTTCCTAATGTGGTTTATTTAATATAACAGTATTTTAAAATCTATGCTAGTTTACGATTTAGGCAGTGAATCGTGAAGAAATCTGATTTGTGAAAATAGTATTTTTTTCCTTTTAAGAGAAAAGGTTTACTTCTATTTTATCTAGATTACCCATTTAATGCAAATCAGATTCAATTCAATTGTTTAATATTCAAAATTATTGTACCTGAACATTCTTCTTGGATCAAGTGATGCAAGCCAGAAGCTGTATGAATCAGGATAGAAGTTACAGGTGCCACGACCATGACGCTCTATGAATGGAATCTTCCGGAATTCTTCCAGACAGGATCCAGGAGAAACCAGTTGCTGCCCAGAACCTTCTGCACCAGCACCCGTTTGCTAAGGAATAAATCAGAACAAGCAAAGTTATGTACTGCATATGTATACATATGTTACAGTTTACATGCTCAGCAAGGCTGCATTTATTTGATCAAAATACAGTAAAAACAGTAATATTGTGAAATATTGTGAAATGAAATACAAACTTTTTTCTATTTTAATATATTTAAAAATATAATTATTCCTGTGATGGTAAAACTGAATTTTCAGGAGCCATTACTCCAGTCCTTCAGAAATCATACTAATATGCCAACTTGCTGCTCAAGAAACATTTCTTATTATCGATGCTGAAAACAATGCTGAAAATACTTTTTTTGTGATTATTTTTTTTTCAGAATTCTTTGATGAATAGAAAGTTCAAGAGGACAGCATTTCTTTAAAATAGATTTTTGTACATGTCTTCACTGTCAATGATTAATTTACTGTGTGACCTTACTGAATGAAACTATTAATTTCTGTAAAAAAAAAACTAAAATAACATTTTTGGTGCAATATTACAAAATAAAACATGATAAAATGTTTGTTTCCATTTATAAAAAAAAATACTAGAGTAAATCCTGAAATTTCCTTAACATATCTGAAATCCAAGCGTTCTTTTCATTTATTGAACTTCACCCAACAGCTGTATTGCATACATTATAAGTACTAAGGGTGCTAAATATTTTTTTTATTTTTTTTTTACTTTGAACAATACATTAATATATAGCTGCTTCTTACCATTACAAAGGAGTAACCTTTCCATAGTGGAAGCCAACCTTTAGGGCAGTCTGGGATTTCCATGGTCTGGCTGTGAAGTGCCATTACATTAGCTGGTGCCTCACATACTGAACACCTTTAAGGTATTGAGAGAACGACAGTTGAACTCCTCTCTTTTAATCATATTATCATATTATCTATCCATGGATGTTTTACAGTTTGTAACAAAGTGATATAAGCACTACTGAGGAAACACAGGCTCCGCATTTACCTGCTGATATAATTAGCCAACGAATCACCAGATATCAATTCCATGTTGCCAGACTTCGCCATGTCTGTAGACAGCCAATAGGAGTAATCATTTCGAAAGGCGTAGTGACAAGTGTCATTGGGATTGCACACCAGGAAAGGCATGGAGAACATTTGCAAACACATCCTACAAACACATAAGCGCACACAGACTGTGAATTTCACAGACTGAATTTCTGTGCTCAGATCTGTTACGTATGTAAACGTGTCTTCCCACATCTATGTCTATTTGCATTATGTGCATCCATATGTGCATAAGTTGTCGTATGAATGTTCTGTCTGTGTTTCATGCCTAGGTCTTGTCCATGTCCGCAGTTATTGCCGTTGATGAAGAGAAGCGAATATCCAAAGTACACATGTTTTGACTCAGGAGGACAGTCTGGTAGTTGTTGTCTAACTATGCTTGGTAAAAAGGAATCCATCTTTTATCCCAGGTGGACCTTGTGAACCCTTGGGACCCACTTCGCCGGACAAACCAGGAACACCTTAGGAGGCAAACAAGGTTTGTTTTTACATGGCATTAGACTTTTCACTGGGTATTTTAAAATTGAACTTCAAGTCAGTCATTGATCAAGGACTCTTTTAAAGAATCATTAAAGGAGCAAATATGATCTGATATACACCATCTTTCAAAAGTTTGGGGTCAGTGAACAAATGTATCAAGGTTTCACAAAAATGTTTTCAACTGTGCTAATAAGAAATGTTTTTTGAACATCAGGTCAACAAATTACAGTGACTTCTGAAGGATCATGTGACACTAAAGACTGCTGAAAATTCAGGAATAAATGAAATTTTAAAATGTAAAAAAAAAAAAAAGAAATATTTCACATTTTACTGTATTTTTGATCAAATGTGTCTCCCTTCAGTCCAGGCATCCCCTTTTGTCCAAGACCTCCATCCGCACCTCTACTTCCCTTTTGACCTTGTGTTCCTAAAATGTGGTGAATTACAAGATACAAGATGAAATCATAAAACTTGAGAAAATTAGAGCATTGTGTTTGTGGCATTGTACCTTTTGGACCTTGTAACCCTGTAGGTCCTCGTTTTCCTGGTTCTCCCCCCACCCCCCGGCTTCTCCAGGGCAACCAGGGTCTCCAGAGATGACCTGAGCCTGGGAGAGGGCAAATTGGGAGAGCTTGAGTCATTCTCTCTCTCTCTCTCTATTTAGTTATTTACCGGACCCCCAGGTGCTCCAATGTCCCCTTTCTTCCCCTTAGGACCAGCATGACCACAAAGACCCTGCAGAATACAGCAGTTGGACTTTGTGAGTGATTGCACATCATTTAAAGCAATTCCAATTAAACAATAGCAGCAACAACAACAACAAAAAAAATAAAATAAACAAATTTGTTTGTCTACTCGCAATCGGGCCAGGACATCCAATGTCTCCAGGATCCCCAGTGTCACCCTGAAACCAAAAAGAGGGTGATTTTTCACAAAACTCAAATTCATTCATTTGGATTACAGTGTACAACAGGATATATTAGGCAAAAATATGTAAAAATGACAATGTATGACTTGTCAGGGAGGGGCATGTTACCTTAGGCTCCTTTGGTCCTAATACAAATAACTTTACACCTTTTTGTCCTGGTATGCCAGGTGGCCCCTACTCCCCCTACAGCAGAGCCCCGGTAATGTATTTCAGAGTTCATAAAATCAGATTAAAGACACCATTATTAAAAACTAAAATCAAATGGATTAATTTGCACATTCATTTACTGTAGGTGACAGATATGTTTTGTAAGAGAAAGCAAAAGCTCAAAAGTTGATAATACTGACCTTTTGACCTATGGGTCCAGGTATTGCATGCTTCGACCCTCTAGACCAGTGATGGGCAAACTTGACCCTTCCAGGCCACTTTCCTGCAGAGATTTGATCCAACCCTGATATGACTCACCTGCCTGTAGCCTTCTAGTAGTCTTGAAGACAATGATTAGCTGGTTCAGGTGTGTTTGATTAGGGTTGGAGCTAACCTCTGAAGGAAAGTGGCCTGGAAGGGCCAAGTTTGCCCACCCCTGCTCTAGACCCTATATATACAAAACAAAATTTAGATTCACATATACACATTATACTGACCTGACATGTTACCATTAGTTAATCAGAACAATCCTTCTCTCCTTGTGGTCCAGGAATGCCTTGTATTCCCTAAAAGAATTAAACAGTTAAATCAAAATGATAAAAACATAATTGTAAACATCACTGGACCCTTGAACAGCCAGCCACAAGAACAGTTTTTTCCCGCAGGCTATATTCAGCCTGAACAATTCAAACATTCATAACTATACATTGTCCATCATAACTGACTCATTTATTTATACAAAGAATCTGAAAATCATCCATTTGTAAACTGCACACTTGTAAATAACATATCTGTACATTTGTTTAAACAAATACATGCTATTTAAAAAAAAATGTTCTATATATTTCTACTTCTGTATATTTATTTATTTAATTTTCTGTTTTTTTCTTATAATAGTGTTATATTCCACCTCTACTGTGTAATTCCTATGCACCTGTATATCTGCACTATCATGTATGTCTGCACTATATCCGTACTTTCTTCTGCACTGGAAGCTCCTGTCGCCAAGTCAAATTCCTTGTGTGTGTAAACATACTTGGTAATAAAGCTCTTTCTGCATTCGGACTTCTGTAAACTTAATCATAAATGAGATAAAAAAGCATTGACTTACTGGTAAACCTCTAGGCCCCTCTGGTCCTGATAACCCTGGCAATCCCGGTGGCCCCTGTAAATCCACAACCAATTAGAAATCTCAGTCAAAAATATAACAAAATACATATAATAAGCCGTAAAGTGCTTGTCCAAATGTTAAATCCGCATTATTTACTTTATTCTCATTATGAATTCTCTTACTTTATCTCCATCACTGCCTGAAAAACCACAAAGTCCTTTCACTTGTTCAGTGGATGGCAGGTAATAGCTATCTCCCTAAAAATAACAGTTATTTATGGTCATTATATTATCATTGACATGAGTGCATTTTTTAAATAAGTAATTAAGCTTGTTAACACTTCTTAAAGGACTGAAGTTAATCAAATAAAACACAGCTTAGGCCCTTGGATTCCTGGCCTTCCCTGAAAGCAACAACAACAAAGCACTGCAGTTTGCTGTTTAAATTGACAGCTTAAATCTAATAAAGGCTCAAATCCAGACTCACACACTGCAACAAGTCCCAAAGAAAAACGAGAGAATTCAGTGTTTTCATTTCCCCCACCACCCACATTTTAACCTTTAATGAACGTGAAAGAAAATAGGAATATAAAACATGGCATGTCTGTTATAATTCTATGGCATTTTATGAGAGGTTCATCCTACCACTGTCTTTGTTTACCACTTATGTTGAGGTTTCAAAATGTCAAAATGTCCTTAACTTCTTAATACTCATATTTTTAATATGTGTGTTGTGCATAACAAGTTTAATTTAAAACATTTTCATATTGATAGCACTCTGTTTGGTGCACACACACACACACACACACACACACATATATATATAGTTTTTTTTTCCCCACTATATATGCTTACTCAACTCACCTGCCACGCAGGAGCTCGCATCAGCCCTATTAAGCCTGGGGGACCAGGCTCACCCTGAAAGAAAAAAGTCAGTGATGACAGTGACCTTTCATATGGTTAAAACAGTTAATTAAAATTTATTCACAAATAATGATTACACAGAATTTGTTTGCATACTTGTGCATTACCTTTGTTCCATTGCATCCTGGGAGACCATGAGGCCCCCTCGGACCCTCTTTCCCAGGGAACCCCTGAAAGAGGAAAACATGATTTTCACACGAGCATCTCTTAAATGAGTCTACTGTATGTTGGTCGAAGCAGCTAATGTCAAGTAACATCATGCCAAGTATTTAAAAGTAATAATGAGACCTAATGTATGACATTTACAGTAAGTAGCATCTGTCTTCCCCTTTTAATCATTTAGGCTATTAATCATATCCAGAAACAGAACATAAACGGGATACACACTAGTGTTATTTTAGTATCATTGATATTTTATTATATTTTTTGTTCATATTTTTAATTAGATTTTAGTTAAAATTTTAGTAATTTTGTTGTGTTTTAGTCATTTTTTTTTTAGTTTTTTTTTTCTTAAATATGTCTATATAGTTCTTATTAAGTTTTGAGTTTTTAGTTTTAGTTGTTTCAATACTTCAATTTAAACTAAATGAAAATGAGAAATTTTTTTTAATGGTTTTAAGTTTTAATTTTAGTAATATCCCTGATACACTCAAATGCAAGTTATTAAGTAAAATAACTAAAATATTCTCTAGAATAAGTCAAAACTTACTGGTAGTCCTGGTGAGCCAGGGAATCCTGGTGTCCCTAAAACTCCCTTATTGAGAGAATGAGAACGAGAGACAGATTGGCTAGACTTCAGTTATACTGCAGCTGTCACAGGAAATATAGTAACACACTCACACACTCCATACCCTAGAACCTTTAGGTCCGGGCATGCCTGGAAATCCAATATCTCCCTGTGTAAAAAAATAAAAATTAAAATAAACAGATATACATTTTATCAACATTAATGAATGCTCTAATAAAGAGTCTATGCAACAATAAATGTTATATAGGTTGTTGAATGTCAAAACAAAGTATAAACAAAAATACTGTCAATCTCTGTATGAGAATATGCCACAAATAAAAAGTAAATTTTATTTTAAAGTGCCCCTATTATGACATTTCCAAAATTGCCTTTCATGCAGTCTGTAAAGTAGCTGTATGTAAAATGTGAATGTAAACGATCTGCAAAGTTGTAAAGCCGAAAGTGCACGATAAATAAAGTTATTGTCTCCCAAAATAAAGAATCGACTCTGCACAGCCTAAACGAGTCGTTAGTAATTCGATTCCCGCGAACAACTTGACCCCGCCCACAAACACGTCGTTTGACTGACACTGCTTCTCTCATCTCTGGTAGCTCAACATGGGATTCACAAAACGCTTGCTCTTGAAAGATGGCTCAGTACCCTGTTCATTTGGACCAGCTGGCTCCACTGAATCACAACCTGTAAGTATGATAAGTAATAGATGTTTATATTTTCTATTAAGCGTTCAAAATATGGAATATATCGTTTTCGACACGGACTGTACATGGTAGACTAATCACAACAGACTGGGCCATCTGACCAATCAGAGCAGAGAAGGCTCAGGGAAAAGAGGGTTTTAGAGAGACTGAATCTTAGAACTGCTTCGAACGAATCGTTTGAGAATTTTTGGAAAATTAGGTGATATTAAATGCATATTTTGAGAAAACGAAAGCATTTTTTGGCCTTGCTTGCATGCATTCCTATTGTAGGAGACTCCCAAAACAATATTAGGTACCTTAAAAATTACATAAAAGGGTCACTTTAATAGTACTGTAAATTTCACAATGAACAGCCTTACAAAAATATTGAAATAATGTCTCAAATTCTGTAAGGTCCTCACTTGGAAGTTCAAGTTAAA